AAGACGACCCTGGACAGCTGACGGACAGATTTGTATGGGGCCTGTGGACATTGTATCAACATGAATTTCCTGGCTGGGAGGGCTGTACAAAGATTCTAGAACGGTGTTCTTGTTTTGAGTACGTATGTGGTGAAATATTTATTGATGGCATCACTCCATGTCTACAAGTTGCTCAGAAAGATCAGAAAAGGAACAACAACAAGAGGGTGGGGTGCTAATTGTCAACAATGACAAATTCTGATTTACGGAGATAAGAGAGTTCTTGGACTCTTTTTGTTGCTTTTCTGAAATTATTTCTTTTTGACATGATTTTAAAATTAGTTCTACTTTTAAAATAAAGCTAAAAGTGCTTTCTGAAGAGCAAAGTTATTCTGCTCAGCCTGCAAACATGCTCAAATCTAAACAAAAGTAAAAACAAAACACAATAATGAGGCCAGTGGCTATCTTACTGCTACCACCACTTCCTCCTGCTGTAGGCATCAGGATGTTGAGGAAGGGTGGCAGGAAGCCTATGTTTGAGACTCTCTTCTGCTCCCTAATCACAGGACCTGGGGAAATCATTTTATCTCTCTGAGCCTCAGTTTCCTCATCAGAAAATGATAGTATCTCCCTTCTGGCGCTTCTTTGGAGGTGTCAAGAGAGAGAAGGCATGTTCCAGCAGGATGCTTAGTTTCAGATTATTTGACAGAGTCTAGACTGCAGATGAGTTATCTTTCTTTGTTGTTGTTATTGTTTTTGGTTTTGGGGTCACATCTAATGGTGTTCAGGGCTTTCTCCTGGCTCTGCATTCAGGAATTACTCCTGGTGGTGCTGGGGAGACCTTACGCAACGCTGGCAATTGAATCCAAGTGGGCCGCATGCAATGCAAGAGCCCTATCCACTGTACTATCGCTTCAGTTCCTGATTCCTCATTTTAGCTCTGGATGACACTGGGTGATCGATTGCCTTACTGCTCAAGGATGTGCCCTGGTTCTCCAGCTGAATCTTCCCTTTGCTGCACTGCACAGAATGGATGAGGATGTGGCTACTTGCGCTTCAGCATCTTCCTTGAGTCTCAGGCTCATTTCTTTTCCTTTTAAAATTTCTTTTTATTTTTGTGTTTTGTTCAGGGGCTACAGCCAGCCATGCTCAGGTCTGTTTCCTGGCTCTGCACTCAAGGATCACTCCTGGCAGTGCTTGGTGGTCCATATAGGGTTTCAAGGGTCAAACCTGTGTTGGCACATGCAAGGCAAATGCCCTACCCATTGTACTATCTGTGGCCACCTCCTTTTCTTTTATCTCCTCCTTCTATTGGGTGGGTAAGTCACACCCGATGATGCTCAGGCTTCCTCCAGTCTCTGCACTCAGAATTACTCCTGGCGGTGCTTGGAGGACCATATGGGATGCTGGGAATTGAACTCTGGTCAGCCACGTGCACGGCAAACGCCCTCCCCGCTGTATTGTCACTCTGGTCCCTCCTTTTCTTTTTCCTTACCCCACTCTCTCCCTCCCCTTTCTAGGGCCACACCCAGAGGTGTTCAGAGGTGATTCCTGGCTCTGCACTCAGGATCATTCTGCGGGACCACATGGATCAAAGCTGTGTCGGCCACAAGCAAGGCAAGCGCCCTACTCTCTGTACTATCACTCCTGTCTTCTCTCTCTTTCGCTTATTTGTTTGTTTCTTTGGGATCATAATTAGCTTTAATTCAGAGTTGCTTAGGGCTGGTTCCAGATGGGGCTAAGTAGACCACACAATGCCCAGTATCAAACTCCTGGCTCCTCCTCCATGCCCTCCAGCCCTGAGCTATCTCCCCAGCCCACCTCCCCAGCCCAATCCTACCTGGCCTCTGCCTGTTGTCCTTTCCCATCACACAGTCCTCCAAATCTTCCCAGATTCTTTCCTCTTTACTGGCTGTTTCTGGAAAGTCTCATCTATTCCCATTCTCTCAGGAACCTCCGATATTAGGCTGATGGCAGAAAATGATTTGTTTGTTTGTTTTGGAGATACACCAGGCAGTGCTCGGGGCTTACTCCGGGCTCTGAGCTCAGAAATTACTCCTGATGGGCTCAGGGAACCGCATGGGATGAAGGGGAGATTGCAGCTGGGCTGGTCTGCCCTGTGCAAGGCAAACTCCCTACGTGCTGTACTATCACATCAGCCACAGAATTTTATTACAGAGTGTTTTGAATCACTTCTGTCTTTCCTTTTTGTTTGTTTGGGGCCTCGCTTGGCTGTGGGCTATGCTCAGAGGTAACTCCTGACTCTGTCCTTTGAGATCACTCCTGGCAGGGTTCAGGGTTGACCATAGCCAGGGATGGAACCTGTGTCAGCTGTGCGCAAGACTATAATCTCTCCAGCCCATACCTTGGTTTTGCTCACTGCTTCTACCCTGTTCAGGTAGAAGATAAACATATTAATATGTATGTATGTATATAAACATATAATATATATCGTTTTTGTTTGTTTTTATTTGGGGGCTATACCAGGAGGTGCTCAGGGCTTACTCCTGGCTCTGCACTTTGGAATCACCCCTGGTGGTGTTCTATGGGGTTCCGGGAATTGAACCTAGGTGGGCAGCATGCAAGGCAAGCACCCTACAGACTGTCCTAACTCCCTAGCCCCTATATTTTTAATTATTGGCTACTAGGCCAGAGAGTAGGACAGGGGTTATGGCTCTTGTTTTGTACACAGCCAACTATGGTTTGACCCCTGGCACCACATTTGGTTCCCTAACAAGCCGTAGGGACCCCTGAACACAGAATCAGGAGTAAACCCTGAGCACAGTCGGTTGTAGCCTGAATCCCTACATTAACATACATTTGCAGCCACACCTGGAGGTGCTTGGTTCGAGAGCTGCTCCCAGTGATCCTCTAGAGACCAGGAAGTGTCAGGGACCATGTTGTGTTGAGCACTAAACCTACGCCTCTTACAGGCAAAGTCTGTGTGCTAGCGTGTAGGGCTCTCTCTGGTCTGTGTATATACATACATACATACATACATACATATACATATATATATATTTTTAAAATATGTATCTATCCCATCAATGGCTAAGATCCGGAGACTATAAAGCAAAGCTCCCACACCTCTTATAGTCTAGCCCACTGATGTACCTAAAGCAGCACACATGTGTTTGGTTTCAACATACTTGTTTGTATTCTCTTATATACATTCTCCAATGGAGACGTAACTGGGCCCGCTCGAGCAAATCGACGATCAACGGGAGGGCCTTTACCTTTACCTTTACCTTATATACATTCTCCATCACCCTTGGAGAGCACAGCAAGCTACCAAGAGTTTCCTGCCCATGTGGTAGAGCCTGACAAGCTCCCCGTAGTGTATTCGATATGCAAAAAAACAGTAACAATAACGGGTCTCATTCTCCTGACCCTGAAAGAGCCTCCAATATGGCACTTTTGGGAAGGACGAGTAAGGAGAGGCTGCTAAAATCTCAGGGCTGGGAAAAATGGAGATGTTACTGGCGCCCCCTTGAGCAACTCTATGAACAAGGGATGACAGTGATACAGTGATGTATCTATGGAGAGATACTATAGTGGCTTTGACGTCTCCCAAAAAATCCCCTTCCCAAGTGTTTATAGGTGGTGTTTTTCTTTATAAATGTGATATACACTTGCTGCGCAGGGGGGTGGGGGGAAATTCATTACAGATCTAGAGTAAGTTCCCACCCTCTATTTTATTTTTGGTTTTTGGGACACACCCAGCAATGATCAAGGCTTACTCCTGGTTCTGCACTCAGGAATTACTCCTTTTGGTGCTTAGAGAACCATATGGGAGGCAGGGGATAGAACCTGGGCCAGCCACATGCAAGGCAAATTTCCTACCCTGCTTTACTCCAGCCCACCCTCAGTTTCTAAAGATAACCCCTTTAATGATACAGTATACATTCCTCATTTCCCTGTATGTACATAGTAGCACATCTTTATAAATAGGATCACATAATTGTGAAAATCACTGTTCTTATTACTTAGATCAGCACATAGAGCAAACACATATTTATACCCTGTTTTTTTTTTTTTTTTTTTGCATACAGCATGTTTGATTTGTTTCGTTTGGGGACCACACAACCCTGTTGCTCAGGGGTTAAGCCTTGCTCTGTGCTCAGGGGTCACTTTTGAAGGCTTCAGGCAAGCACAGGCGCTGACGTGGATAGAATTGAGTTTGCAACTACAGCACCCAAACGGAGAGAGAAAACAAAAGGGAATGCCCTGCCACAGAGGCAGGGAGGATTGGGGGAGATGGACGGTGGGAGGGATACTGGGATCAGTAATGGTGGAAAATGGACACTGCTGGAAGGATGGGTATTCTATCATTGTATAATTGAAACCCAAGCACAAAAAGTCTACAACTGTACCTCATGGTGTTTCACTAATAAAAATTAAAAAAAAAATTGAGTTTGCATCATCCAAGACAAGTGCCTCAACCCCTACCCTCTTCTCTCTTCTCTCTGATCCCTTGAAGACCATTTGCCCTGCACCCATTTGTATTTGATTTAGTTTCTGGACCACACCGGGCTGTGTTCAGGGCTTACTCCTGGCCCTGTGCTCAGGCATCACTCCTGGCGGTGCGCGCTTGGAATGGGTGGGATGTCCTTTAGTGGAATCGATGACCTAACCGGGGTCGCCCGTGTGCAATGCATGTACCATGTCCCTTGCGCTCTCTCTCTCTGGTCCTGCACTTATATTGTTAATTAATTGAGCGCTTCTACTCTTTTAACCTTTGCAGAGTTTTGGGTTCTTCTCCACGGATTTGTGAGTTGCAAAGAGGCATCGGGAATGTTGAGAATCATGTCTGCATCCTCATAATTTAGACCCTAATTTGGCCCGGAGTGTTAATGCCATCACGGACCGTGCAGGGTTTCAGCCTCAGCTGGGAGGCGTTGCGAAGGGCAGCCACGCCCCTCCTCCCCTCCCCCGCCCGCCGGGGCCTCGAAGACCCGGAACCTTTATTGGGTGGAGCGTGGTTCCTGGCGGAGGCTTTTAGCAGCGGAGTTTGCCCCGCACAAGCATGGTGGCTCCGCACCGGAAGTGGCTCGTTATGCCGCAGCTGTCAGGACTTCCGCGGGGCGGAAGAGGCATGCCTGCCGGTGTCCGACCGTTTCCAGCCCCCTCTGCTTGCAGGATCCCATGAGTAAGCTGTGGCGACGCGGGAGCACCTCTGGGTCCATGGAGGGCCCTGAGCCGGGTAAGCGGGGGCTCAGCGAAGCAGTGCAGGCTTTTGTCCGTAAGCCAGCGCGTCTCTCGCTTCTCGGAGCTCCCTGAGCACTGGGCCACAGGTGGGCAGAGGGTGGGCGAGTGCTGCTGGGGGAGTGGGACCCTGCAAGGATGGGTGTGCTGGAGGCTGTCCCCGGCCAGCGCCTGCCCCACACCCGTGACAGGCTCTCCTTCCGCAGGGGAAGCGCTGGAGTTGAGCCTGCCCGGTGCCCACGGCCACGCGATGCACAAGAAAAAGCACAAGAAGCACAAGAAGAAACACAAGAAGAAACATCACCAGGAAGAGGAGGCTGGGCCCACGCAGCCGTCTCCTGCCAAGCCGCAGCTCAAGCTCAAAATCAAGTTAGGGGGGCAGGTCCTCGGCACCAAGAGGTAAGGCCACGAGGAACCCTGGCTTCATCGGGAACCTTGGGAGCAGGGAGCGCAGCAGGGAGCGCTCGAAGCAGAAGCCCACCGGGCTTTCTAGAAGACGCAGTGAGCACTGACTTCAGGACCCACGTAAAAGCTGCAAAAACCCAAGAGGATGTGGGGAAGCTGGGATTTGCTGAGCTGGAGACTCTTGCTCAGTTTACTTAGCAGTTTTGCTTCTCTGCAGTGTACCAACCTTCACTGTGATTCCGGAGGGGCCTCGCTCACCCTCTCCTCTTATGGTTGTGGATAATGAAGAGGAGCCCATGGAAGGGGTCCCCCTTGAGCAGTACCGTGCCTGGCTGGGTGAGAAGGATTTGGAGGTGGGGAAGCTGGGCTTCTCATTAGACCTGGTGAATAGAGTTGGGTTAGTGTTGGGTGCTTTTTTTTGGGGGGGGGGGGGAGGGCCACACCTCACAGTGCTCAGAGACTACGTGTTTGGTGGATGGGGATCTGCTGCGATGTTGAGGAAACATGTAGTGACAGGGGTCAAATCCAGGACTCCTTCATTGCCAGGCATGTGCTTAATCCATGGAGCTTTAATGAATTAAGCTCTCCACCACCTGAACTATTCTTTTCTCTCTCCAACTTGCCTTTCCAGATGAAGACAGTAATCTGTCCCCCTCACCACTTCGGGACCTGTCAGGAGGCTTAGGGGGTCAAGAAGAAGAAGAGGAACAGAGGTGGCTGGAGGCCCTAGAGAAGGGGGAGCTGGATGACAATGGCGACCTCAAGAAGGAGATCAACGAACGGCTGCTCACGGCGCGGCAGGTCATTCATTTCAAAAGAAAGCCAGAGTTTGGCTTTTGGGCCACATCTGGCAGTGCTCAGAGGATGCCCTGAGCTCTGTGCTCTGGGCGTAATTCCCAGTGGTATGTGGACTTGAACCCGGGCCTCTTGATGCAGAGCTCAGCCCATTGAGTCATCTCTCTGTTCCAGCTGGTCCATGCTTTACTCATTTTTCAAATATACATGGGGAATTTCCCTTGCCCCAAGAACTTTGCTAGGCAGTGAGGATAATAGTAGAAAAGACAAAACAAGGTTTCCCTTCTCATGGGGCTGGCATTGCAGTGTAGCTGAGTTAGGAGGCTGAGTGAGATGTAAATAGTAAAACATTTTGGGGTGGTACTGGGAATGGAAGCCAGGATCTCTCAAATCCAAGGCAAGTGGTCTACCACTGAGCCACATCTCCACCTCATTACTAATTTAGTGTGGGTGGCATTTTGTACCATACCCAGTGCTGCTCAAGGTTTACTCCTGTCTCTGTGTGCAAGGAGCATTCCTGGCAGTGCTTTGGTGCAGGTATCGAAACCAGGTCAGCTTCATGCAGAGCAATAGTGTTTCCCACTATACGATCTCTCCTGCCCACAGAAATAAATTCTTTTTTTTTTTTTTTTTTTTGCTTTTTGGGTCACACCCAGCTGATGCTCAGGGGTTACTCCTGGCTCTGCACTCAGGAATCACTCCTGGCAGTACTTGGGGAACCATATGGGGTGCTGGGAATCGAACCCAGGTCGGCCGCATGCAAGGCAAACACCCTACCCACTGTGCTATTGCTCCAGCCCCAGAAATAAATTTTTTAGGGCTGAAGTGATAGCACAGTGAGGAGGGCGTTTGCCTTGCATGTGGCCAACCCAGGTTCAATATGATCCCACTAGGAGTGATCCCTGAGTGCAGAGCCAGAAGTAAACCCTAAGCATGGTCAGGTATGACCCAAAAACAAAAAATAATTTTTTAAAGCTGTAAGACTTATAACGGGCTAAAGCGATAGCACAGCGGGTAGGTAGGGCGTTTGCCTTGCAAGCGCCAACATGGCCGACCTGAGTTCAATGCCTCTGCCCCTCTCGGAGAGCCAGGCAAGCTACGAGCGTATCTCGCCCACACGGCAAAGCCTGGCAAGCTACCAGTGATGTATTCGATATGCCGAATACAGTAACAATTGTCATAATGGAGACGTTCCTGGGCCCGCTAGAGCAAATCGATGAACAGTGGGAGGACAGTGACAAAGACTTATAACAAAAATTGGTGATGGGTAAAAGTGGTGGAAGAGAGTGTATTAATATTACCTTAATATTAGATAGGATTAGTAAGGGACCTTCCCTAAGGAGACATTTCCAACGCCAGAGGAGCTTTCCAGACACAAACCAGCAGGCACAAAGACGCTGGGAGTGGAATATTCCTCGGTAGTGGTCAAAGAGAAGAGTTAAGTGTAACCAAGCAGGGGATGGTGTATTTCATTTACATTCCAGGTGATCACTGTGGCTTCCTAGTGGGGGATGAGGGGAAGAGAAGTGAGGATCCCGCTAGGAGGCTGTTGAAGTAATCAGGTGAGAAGTAGTTGTGGTTTGATCCCAAGGTGAGGTTGTGGCGACGGAGAGCATCCGGTGTATTTAGTAGATACTTAGTTAGGCGTATTTAGGAGATACTTAGTAGCAGACAAACGCTGGCGTGGCGGGGGAGAGGAGAGGAGTCCGGAGGACGCGTGCTTTCTAGTAGCCCTGCTTTCCAGGGCCTCCCTCCCTCATTCGGCCGCCTCTCCCGCCCCACTTGCTGACACCCTCCCTTTGCCTCCGCAGCGCGCTCTGCTGCAGAAGGCGCGGAGTCAGCCCTCGCCCATGCTGCCGCTGCCGGTGGCCGGGGGCTGCCCGCCGCCGGCGCTCACCGAGGAGATGCTGCTGAAGCGCGAGGAGCGGGCGCGGAAGCGCAGGCTGCAGGCGGCGCGGCGGGCCGAGGAGCACAAGAACCAGACGATCGAGCGCCTCACCAAGACTGCGGCCCCGAGCGGGCGGGGAGGCCGAGGGGCGGCGAGGGGCGAGCGGCGCGGAGGGCGGGCCGCGGCCCCGGCCCCCATGGTGCGCTACAGCAGCGGGGCCCAGGGGTCCACCCTCTCCTTCCCACCCGGCGTCCCCGCCCCCGCCGCCCTGGCCCCGCGGACGTGCCCGCCGGCCCCTCCCCCGAGATGCTCGGTCCCGGGCTGCCCGCACCCGCGCCGCTACGCCTGCTCTCGCACCGGCCAGGCGCTCTGCAGCCTCCAGTGCTACCGCATCAACCTGCAGATGCGGCTGGGGGGCCCCGAGGGGCCCGGGTCGCCCCTTCTGGCTACTTAAGATCCTCACTCAATGCGGACTCTGCGCCCTCTGCCCTCCCGTTTTCAGTATCTCCTATTAAATTTCGTCTGGTGCCTCGACTTGTACAGCATTGGGGGCCTGGGGTTCGGGTAGGCACACACTCTGCCCCCCACCCAGCGCCAGAGCTCGCATCGGCGTCTGGGAAGCAGCCAAGAAGCAAAAGGAAGGTTCGGACTGACTTTTGGGACCCTGCTTCTTCCAGGCCGGGTTACCTGGCGTGGTCAAAGCAGTTGGCGTCATCCCGAAAAGAGTTCAGGCCAATCCGCAGAAATTTGGCTCTTCTGGGTGGCCATTCATTGGTTAATCGCGGCCAGCCCGTTCTGTTGTTCTTATTGGCTACCGGTGCTGTCAATTAGGGTGGTGGGCCGAATCTCGCCCCAATTCTTTGTCTAAGCAGGCGCAGGTCTGGGAGAGCGGCCGGGGCGCTGCCGCTGATTGGTCCCGGGGAGAACCCTCCGGTCAGTTCCGATTGGCTGGCCCGCCGGGGCCGACGCTGATTGGTGGCGCGGAGAAGCCGGGGTTCCAGTTGGCAGAGCGCTCCCCGGATGGAGGCTCGGGCCGCGGAGTGATGGTGGCGGCAGCGGAGATGGGCCGGGCAGGGGCTATGGCGGTGGCGGCAGAGGTGGCAGGGGCGGGGCGGCTGGCGGTGGAGGAGGCTGTGGTCTTCAGGGGACTGTAGGTGGAGGAATGGCTCGGGCCGGCAGCGGGAACGGCAGCGAAGAGGCCTGGGGGGCACTTCGGGTGCCGCAACAGCAGGTAGCCCATCAGCTCCAAAGCCTACCACGACAGCCATTTATTTCTCTCCCCTTTCCTTGTCCCTTACTTTTGGGGGGTGCGGGAGGAACTCGGTGGAGCCGAAGGAACGGCGAGGCGAAGTTCCTAAACACGTCCCTTCTACTCTTTGTCTGAACTTGGTAAGGCAGATGCAGTTGACTTTGCCTGTAGCTTCATAGACCCCCATCCCGTGGCTCAGTTGCCCAGAGTCATGGAAAGCCCCAGGGAGCGTCCCTCTGTCTTACAGCAGTTCTCTGTGATGTTTTTCTGTGCTCCTATTGTCACAGTCGAGTCCGGCAGCGTCTTCTCTTGAGGGAGCAATTTGGAGAAGAGCTGGACCCCAGATGTCATCCTTTATCACCCCCATCTGTTTGGGAGCATTGCTCTGGGTCTCACGTTGCACCACCATTTCGCTAGGAAGCCTGAGACCCTGGATGGAAAGATCCAGCTGCAGGGGTGGGGGTGGGGGGCTGGAGGGGGGAGTCAGCCTGTGGGGTATGATGAAAGCAGTTTTGGCTTTGGAAGACTTTGCCTTACACCCCATACCCTTTGTCTGAGACTCAGAGAGCTCAGACTCAGCGTCTGCAAGGAAACACTCCCTTAACAGAAAATACCCTGGGGGTGCCCGGCCTCCAGCGAGATGAGTCTCCTATACCCAGAGCTGAAGTCAGCCTTCTTTGCATCTTGTTTTCTAGACCCATTCTTGCTATTCCAGATTTTCTTCTGTGGTGACAGCCCTTCAGATACTCAGACCTCCACTCAGCACCACTCTCCTCTCCTCCCCGTAGAGCCCTCCGGGCTAAACTGGATTCACTGGGTGGGACTGTGTATGTGCATGCAGGGAGCAGGCGGGGGTGGTGTTTTGGACTGGAATTGCTTGTGTTTCTAAGTGCTTCCTTGCCCCCAGCTTCGAGAACTGTGCCCAGGAGTGAATAACCAGCCCTACCTCTGTGAGAGTGGCCACTGCTGCGGGGAGACGGGCTGCTGCACCTACTACTATGAGCTCTGGTGTGAGTCTCCCAGGGGGCTGCCGGCAGGTCCCTTTTCCCGCCTTCCCTGGGCCCTCCGAGTTGCAGACTCCGAGGACCGTTCTCTGCATCCAGGCTGGATCTACAGCACCCCCTCCTCGTCCCCTGCAGGGTTCTGGCTGCTCTGGACAGTCCTCATCCTCTTTAGCTGCTGTTGCGCCTTCCGCCATCGACGGGCCAAACTCCGGCTGCAGCAACAGCAGCGGCAGCGTGAGATCAATTTGTTGGCTTACCACGGGGCGTGCCACGGGGCTGGCTCTGCCCCTGCTGGTTCACTGCTTGACCTTCGTGAGTGATTTGAGGCTTTGGGCTCACTACCAGCAGGCTCTCCCAAACTCGAACCCGGAGTCATCCTTATGTTCCCTTTTCAGACGCCTCAAAGCACTGTTTTTTTTTTCCTGTTCCCTGATCAGAGAGACGGCCACGCCTGCCCCGGGTGGCCTTCAACCAACCATGCTCTGCTTTTCTTCCTGCAGGCCTCCTCAGCGCCTTCAAACCCCCAGCCTATGAAGACGTGGTTCACCGCCCCGGCACACCACCACCTCCTTACACCGCGGCCCCCGGCTGCCCCCTGACCACCTCCAGCGAATGTACTTGCCGGTCCTCTGCATCCAGCTGCCCCACTCACTTCGAGGGAACAAATACGGACGGGGTCTCCTCCCGCCAGACCGTCCCCCATCAGGAGGATGAGCCTGGGGCCTGCGGGAGCCCCGTCCCCACACCCCCCTCCTGCCGCTCTCGCCGCCTGACCGGTGACTCAGGCATCGAGCTCTGTCCTTGTCCTGATTCCAGTGAGGGTGAGCCATTCAAGGTGGCTCGGGCTAGTGCCCCCTTGCCCAGTGTGGAGGACCAATCCCCCTGTGCACTGCCCCTTAATCCTGTACCCCAGGTCTCTCCTGTGGGGCTGGCTTCCAGTGAAGGGGACATCCTGTAAGCAATCCAGGGAGGATGGATGGGTGGCTGGCTCGCCCAGCCGGGATGCATTCCAGCCCCATTGCCTTGAGCTCTTCTCAGCCTCTCCCTGCCCTCCTACAGTCCGCCCCGAAGGGCTGGAGCCCTGAGTTGAGGGGCGGTGTTTGAGGGATGTCCACGCTCAAACCCCTCAAAACATACACAGGAGCCTTTGATCTCATTAAAGAGATGTGAACCAGCTGCTTGTGGATTTGGGCGGACCCGAGCTCAGCTCACCAAACTACACTTGAGGGGACGAGATGGGGGTTATTGGCAGGGGGACTATGTCCAGTGGCCATTTCTCCCACCTTCTCTCAGCAACGGGAGGCAGTCCTAAGGCCCGGACTGAGTTCAGACTCTGGTGGGAGGCAAAGCTGGCAAAAGCTTTTGTTTGACATGGTTTTCCATTTATTTAAAAAAATAGACTCTGATTCACATTCACCCCAGGGCCGTGTGGGATGACAGCAGGTGACACTGGAGATGAGGAAGCCCTAGTACCTAAGGAGTGGGGGAGGCCGCAAGGATGCACCTTGCCCGTCCAGTCCAGGTGGCATGTGGGGCCGACACCTCCATCTTCCGTCAGTAGTCTTCAGCCATGACCAGCAGGACAAGGCTGGTCCAACCCTGGAAAGGCCGACATCCCATGCCGTGCCCATCCCGGTCACTGTACTGCTCCCACAGGAACCCTGTGGCCTGGTACTGCCGCCATACGTTGCCCACCACGTTGGCACGGAGCTCGCTGTGCAGCTTGGCGGCCTGGGCCTGGTGGGGGCCCTCCAGCTGCCCATAGTGGTGGAGAGCCCCCAAGGCCAGGTAGTTGATGTTGAGCCACACAGCGCCCCTCCAGTAGGGCGGGTCGTGCTCTGAATTGCGCTGGCCGTAGAAGGGGCTGGAGGCTGCCAGGGAGCGCAAGCCGAAGGGGCTCCAGAGATGGCGGCTGTCAGCAATGACCTCCAGCAGGGGCCCAAGGTGGGGTGACTCGGGGTCCAGCAGCCTCAGGAGAAAGGGGAAAATGCTGACGTAGCCCAGGGCGTCCACATACTGTGGGCGAGGCGGGGGCCGGCCCACCACGCGCAGCAGCCCCTGCGGGGGCCGAGGCTTCAGCTGCACAGCTCTCGTGTGATTCCCGAAGTCGGCAAAGACGCCCAGCTCGGGGGCCCAGTGCAGCGCCGCCAGGCTTTTCTCGGCCTCCAGTGAGGCCGCCAGCGGGCGCAGCTCCTCCGCGGCTTCTGCGTCCCCTAGCTGCTCTGCCAGCCGCGTCAGCACGCGGGCACCCAGTGCCATCCAGCACCGCAGGTCCAGGTGCCGCTCGGTGGCTGAAGGGTGCGAGGCCCGGGGATAGTCATCCAGTCCCGAAGGCAGTGTCTTGGGGTTCAACAGGGTTGGCAAGGCGGGGTCCCGGCCCCGCCAGCGGTAAGAGTGTGGCTCCGGCCCTGCCTGGCTGTCGTGGAGCCAGGAGAACCAGGCCCGCAGGCGGGGGAAGGCCCTGCGGAGGAAGGCCAGGTCGCCAAGGTCACCGCGCTCCAGCATGTGGGCGATGGGCAGAAGCAGGGTCGGGGGGTTGGCATGGGCTGCCCGCTGCACTAGGAACTCAGGGGGCACCCGGGCGCGCGCTTCATCCCCCAGCACTTGCTCCCGCCCGATCCAGCCATCAGCATTGAGCAGCCCCAGCCAGTGGCCTAGGGCCTCCCGGGTGAGCTGAGGGTCCCACCGCTGCACGAGCAGCTGATGGAAGCCCTCATCCCAGAGGAAGCCTCGGGGGAAGAAGGACCGGGACGGCACTGCAGTGAAAAGAGGGGCAGGTGGGAAGAGAGCGGGGTCTACCTTCTGCTCGGACCCCTCCCCGCCCAGGTCTGGCAGCACCAGGCCTTGTCCATAGAAGTAGCCGATCCCGCCCAGGAGGCCGCTGAGGGCGGCCTGCCCCAGAGCCTGCTCCTCAGGGCTGAGGCCCTTCTCCTGCAGCCGGAAGGTCTTCTCAAAGCGCTGGCTAAAGGCCGCAGCGTGCTCCTCCAAGGCCTGGGTCAAGAGGCTACCTGCCAGTTGGCCCAGGGCACGGCTGCCTCCGGCTTGAGCACTGGCAGACTCAAACACCAGCTCCACAGAGAAGGGGACCTTTAGGGTCACCTGCTGTATCAAGAACTGCCCTTGCCCCTGTCCTGGCCCCCTTGGGTCCCGGTCCTTCCACTTAAGTGATCCTGGCAAGCCGAGGTAGCGTTCAGGGGAGGCCCCTGGAGGCCGATGCTGAAACCACTGATTCAGGTGACTCTTCACCATCTCCGTCAGCAATGGAAGTCCCGGGTTGGAGGACCAAAAGACATTGTAGCTTGAAGGACAGAAGATAAATAGGAATATTAAGGGCCGGAGCAATGGTACAACGGGGAGGGCATTTGCCTTGCATGCGACCAAAGCAGATTCAATCTCTGGCACCCCATATGGTCCCCGGAGCACTGCCAGGAGTGATCCCTGAATGCAGACAGAGGTAAAGCCCAAGCACCACTGGGTGTGGCCTGCTCGTCCCCACGCCCCCAAATAGGGCAATATTATGTCAGGGGAAATGGTGAGGATTATAAAGGGAGTCAGGATGGGAAAACCTGACAGTGCAATAAACAGTCTGGTGGGAATTCAAATGACTGGTGGAAACAGGGTAGCACGGGGGAGATGAAAGTTGGCTGAGTGGGCATCCATGCCACCCTCCCCACCAGCCACCCCTGCATCCCCAGTTACCTGCCATATTTGGGAGCAGACTCCCCTGGGCTGGTTGGTGCCAAAAGTGTAAAGCGGAAGTCACCAAGTTCACTGCTGTGTCCACGGATGGACTTCACCTGTCCTGGAGCCCCAGCCTCTGGCACCAGGACTTCCTTGCCATCTGTCACCACGTAGAAGAACAGGGAGACCAAAGGGAGGGCAGAGGTTCCCGAGGCCTGAGTGACCAAGAACGAAAGAAATACACCATTAGACAGCCGGTTTCTTGTGAGAAGCTGCCTTTGCGAGGGGAAAGGCACCAGGTGGGAGCCGCGTGGTCAGCCAGACATCTGGCAGTGCGAAGGTCAAGGAGGGAGCAGCTGTCAGGGGGCTTCTCTGGGAAATAAGAGCACTGCGCTAGGAACTCTGCGCGAAGCTCTCACACGATTTCACTTCATGCACACATGTGAGTCAGGTGCTCATCACAGTCCTCATTTTACAGACATGAGGTGGGCAGTGATCAGACTGATCACACAGGTGTGACTTCTGTCTGGGGGCGGGGGCGGGGGGGGTGGGTGCTTCACGTCCACTCCCAGCTTAGCGCTGGTGGACCATGTGGTGGGCGGGCTCCAAGTGGGCCTCCAGAGCTCAGCGGGCTGAGCGATCCCTGGGGGCACCCGGCAGGGTCAAAGGGAGGATTCAAATCCGGATGGCCACACCCGGAGTCCCTGCCTGCGCCTGTCACACTGCATCTGTGGGCAGCCGAGGAGGTGGGGAGGTGGTGGGCTGGGGGAAGGGAGTCCTGAGGCCCTGACCTGAGGCTCTACAGTCACTCTCCAGCTCCAGTCCCCTCCGTGCTGACCCCCGGGCCTCTTGACGAACTCAGTTGTGAGCCTCAAGGCCCCATCCTGGATGTGCTGCCGCCCGAAGGAGAGGCCGTCGTGGAACTCCCAGCCATAGGGACCCACGCCGTCTCCCTGCTCACACGTGTGCCTGAGCTTAAGGGTCCCCGGGGCGGCGCCTTGCTGCGCCCACATCAATCCTGGGGGTAGAATGGCCACGTAAGTCCAGGAGAGAGCAGAGGCCCGGGCCCTCTGAGTCTCCGAGAAGGTCGGGGCGTCCCTGCCTCTAGCTCTCCTGCTCCGCGCCTCCCCACCCTGGCTCTGGCCTGAAGCTGGGGCGCCCAGGAGGAGAGGCCGTCCGCCTGCCTGCCCGTCCCGGGGCCGGATTACCGGTGAGGAGGGGCTTGGCGCTGCGGGTCTTCATGCCGAAGTAGACATGGGGGCGGTAGGTGCCCCAGAAGAGCTCGGGGGCCACGGCGGGGCTGGCGGCGTCGGGCGGCAGCGCTGAGGGCGCGGGGTGCAGCGTGACGGCGCGGCGCGCGCGGTGCCAGCCCAGCAGCCAGTGCCCCGCCAGGCTCAGCAGCACGAGCGAGGCCAGGACCGCGGCGGCCAGCGCCGGCCGCCCCGGGCCGCCCCGGCTCCCGCCGCCCCGGCCGTCCCGCCGCGCGGGCCCGGCCCGCTTCTCCGCTCCCCGAGCGCCGTCCGCGGGCGCCCCGCGGCGCCGCCGCTCGCCCCGGCCCATCCCCGCCCCAAGACCCGCGCTCCGATCGCCGCGCCTCCCGCCGGGGTCCGCGCCTGCCCCGCCGCCGAGCTGTCAACCGCGCCTCCCTTCCGCTTCCGGTCCTCGACGGAAGTCCCGCCCCGCCACGTTAGGCTAAGGCGGCTCCGCAGCTCGGCGCGGCTCTAGGGATCTGTTGGTCGGGGGTTGGGTTCCCCCACCCCGCCCCGCCCCGCCCGGCCCACTCCGGACTTCGTCCTTAGGGGAAGCGCCCGCTCTGCAGTCTCCAGCCCAGTGTAGTTAGCAGGCCAGGAGAAGTAATGAATCTTACGCTGGGATTTAAATATGTATATATATATTTATTGCTTTTGGGATCACACCCGGGGATGCACAGGGGTTATTCCTTGAGGAGTTACTCCTGGCAGTACTCAGGGGATCATATGGGATGCTGGGAATTGAACCCGGGTCAGCCGCGTGCAAGGCAAACAAATGCCCTACCCGCTGTGCTATCTCTCCAACCCCAAAATATATATATTTACATATACATAGGTAAACATCATGCTACACCTGTTGTGTTTTTCTTTAACTGCCCCCACTCCTCTAATCAGGTATTTAGATCAGGTACTTGGACCTTGAGCATTGACGGGAACTGACTGTCTTGCAGTCCAGGTGTAGAGGAACCGAATTCTCTTGCATCCACATTTGTCCCTTGTGAGGCGGAAGGTGGCAGGTACAGAACCAAGTGGAAGCCTGGGATCTTGTCTTTTTAAAGTGACTTGTGACTTTAAACAAATCATATCTCCGTTTCTATTTTTTTTCTTTTTTGCTTTTTGGGTCACACCTGGCGATGCACAGGGGTTACTCCTGGCTCTGCACTCAGGAATTAGTCCTGGTGGTGCTCAGGGGACCATGTGGGATGCTGGGAATGGAACCTGGGTTAGCCGCGTGCAAGGCAAACGCTCTACCCGCTGTGCTATCACTCCAGCCCCCTATCTCCGTTTCTAGATGAACCCGAAAGGGACCAAAATAGTGAGTGCAACTGGAGAAGATTTTCTCACCCCGTTTCTACCACCGAGGAAGCAAACAAGTATAGAGAAGGGATGCATGGCTTAGGGTCAGCCCAGGAAAAGCTGTAGAAAGCCAGCATCAGCACATTCAGCTGCACATCATTTGCTGCTGCTCAAAAATGCAACTTATGGGCTGGGAAGAGAGAAAAGCAGGTAGGGTGCTTGCCTTGCACGCACTCTGCCAACCCAGGTTCATCACTGGCACCCCATATAAACCGCAGCCCCAGAAGGAGTGATCCCTAAACACAGCCAGGAATAAGTCCTGAGAAGCTCTGGGTGTGGCCCCCAAAGACAAAACTAATACTTTAGGCCTGAGAGTGAGTACAGGAGGTAAGGGGCTTGCCTTGCACAAGCCTATCTGGGTTTAATCCCCAGCATCACCAGGGCAGGAATAAGCCCTGGGGGATCCAAACACAAAACCCAAGGGACAGTGACAGTATAGCAGATAGGGTGCATACCTCACATGTGGCTGAGAGATTGCATCTTCAACATCTCCTATGATCCGCCGACCCCCACCAGGAGTGATCCCTTAGCATCCCTGAGCACCGCTGGGTATGATCCCAAAACCCAAACAAAAAAATCCAAGTATTTTATGCTGAATACCTTTATCACACTTCACTATAGTCTGACTTCAAGTCTCACCTTCAACTAGTAGGCTTCTGGCTCACCTGACCAATCACCAATCACCAACAATCACCTGACCAAGCCCTGTCCATTATTCTGCTGCCACTGCACTTGGTTCATAGCTGCAATGCTTACCATACACCTGGGTTTATCTTTATATCCTAAGACTAATCATTTCCAAGCTATATATATAAATATATATTTTTCATATTTTGGGTCACACCTGGCAATGCACAGGAGTTACTCCTGGCTCTGCACTCAGGAATTATTCCTAGTGGTGGTTGGGGGACCATATGGGATGCTGGGAATCGAACCCAGGTCAGCCACGTGTAAGGCAAACATCCTACCCACGGTGCTATTGCTCCAGCCCCTACATGCTATATATTTCTAACTCAACAAGTGTTTGTTTATTTTTGCCTTTTGCGTCACACCCGGCGATGCTCAGGGGTCACTCCTGGCTCTGCACTTAGGAATTACTCCTGGCAGTGCTTGGGGGACCATATGGGATGCCAGGGATCGAACCCGGGTCAGCCGCATGCAAGGCAAGCAGGCTATCACTCCGGCCCCTCAACAACTGTTTATTGCCTGCTTTGTACCACTCTGCAAGGTGGTACAGAGAAAACAGCCCCAAAACTTAATTTCACAATCTAGAAGCAGCACTGAAACCTTGCTTACAGCAACTGTTGAATGATCCCCACTTGCAAAGATGAGTCAAGTGTTGCTAGAGATAATGAGATCAGTTCATCAGAGCTGGGGAACATGAATGTAGGTTGTCTTTATCAACTTTGAGGTAATACTTGCTATGCTCCCAGTAACATTCTAGGCACTTCACAGACCCGTTCATTTCATTCAATAGTCCCATTAGATACTATTATCCCAATTTTACAAATGAGAAAACAGATGTTGGAAAATGAATTTGTCTCACTGAAATTATACCAAAATCCAAGTACATGCCAACACACTTTACGTGCATAGATACATGTACATATATGTATTCACGACTATATGCTTAAATTGGGTGTGTGGTACCAGGAATCAAACCCAGGGTGTCACACATGCAAAGCAAGTGTTCTACTTCTAAGTCACATCCCCAATGTTTGGAGTTTCTTGGGCACTTTGGTGGTGGTGACGTGAGGTCACTGTACACCAAGACTATACATGTCAACACCATTGTAAACACTTTACCTGCACTGTAATTGTTATTAAAAGAGAAAATACACGTCATGCACTCTAATCCTTTTTGCTTTTACTTCGTTTTTAAAAGGTTTTATGGACCACACTAATAGGAGGTAATTCTGTTTGAAAAACATTTCAAGTCTGAAAATACTTAAACACTGTTCTCTGAAACAAGTAGCAGTGAGAGAGAAAACCAGTCATGTGTTTTTCAGCAAGATGAAATTAAGCCACAGCAAAAACAATTAGAAAATAAGATGCAGAGAACACAAGAATGATACAGGAGAGTAAAAACATTTCAGGATATTTGAAATGTTTCAGGAAAACACTTCAGAACATTTAGAAACAGAATATTCTCTAGGTGCTGGAGTGATAGTATAGCAAGGAAGGCACTTACATTGCATGCGGCTGACCTGTTTTTGATCTCTGGCATCGCATATGAACCCCCAAGTCCCTCCGGGAGTAATTCCTGAGCATAACTAGGTGTGGCCCCAAAACAGAAAACAAATACAAAAACAAAACAGAATATTCTTGGCCAGAGAGATAATACAGCAGGTTCTGTCTCTAATAAGCACTGCTTTGCTTGCATGCAGCGGATCCAGTTAGACCTACTTTGTCTCCCAAGCCCACCAGGAGTGATCACTGACCACAGAGCCAGGAGTAAGCCCTGTGTGCCACCGGGTGTACCAAATGTAATAAATGAAATGTAATTAATGAAAAGTAAAATGAAATAAAACAGGATAGTCTGAACTTACTGACTGGATTTATAGGGAAAGAAGTAAGACAAAACCAGAAACAGCAGGGGCTGGAGCGATAGTACAGCAGATAAGGCCTTTGCCTTGCACACAGTCAACCCCGAGTTCAATCCCCAGCATCCCATTTGGTTCCCAAAGGACCGCCAGGAGTAACTTCTGAGTGCAGAGCTAGGAGTAACCCCTGAGCATCACTGGGTGTGACCCAAAAAGAAAAAAAAATAATAAATAAATAAAAATAAAATACACACACAAAAAAACCCAAAAACAACAATCTGGTTTCCAACTCAAGTGGCTGAAGAGATGCAGTGTTTTTAAAAGGGCAAATCGGAAAGATGCAACCATGTGTTCGTAAGATTATCAATTCCAGCTTGCAGAGAAATGGTGCAAATCAGAAGAAAAGTGATGATAGTAGGCGGACAACCTGACTACGCAGCACAGAAATCAAGATTACAGCCAAACGAAAGGGAGAATTCAGAAAAGCCCTAAGAAAAAAAGGAAAGGAAAGTCGAGCTTGACCAGAACGGAAACGAAAGGGTCCAAGAACAAGAAAGAAAGAAAGAGAAGAAAGAAGAACAGGCGATGCACCGGGAGTGAGTGGCGGAAAACGACCGCGACAAACAGCACTGGGTTCGGCAACTAACCGTGGTAGAAGCGGCCCAACGCAAAAAGGTTAAGCAGTGAGTCTAGGGTAAGAAGGCGAAGAAAGCCGAGTGCGTCGATGCCCCTTCCGGATCTGGCCGCGTCCCAGCGCCGGGGGCTGGACGTGGAGTCCCAGGGCATCTCGGCTGCTCCCGGCCCAGCGTGCAGAGGGGCGAGGGGCTGAGAGCGCCGTCCTGGCGTCGGGCCCGCGGCTCGGTCTCCCCGGCCCGGTCAGCGGCCCGCACCCACGGGCGCCTTGTCCTCGCCGGCCGCGGCGCCCCTGAGCTGGATGTGCGAGGCGAAGGCGCTGAGCATCTCCTGCGCCGTGAGGTGGGCGCCGCGCAGGATCAGGCGATGCCCGTCTCCTGTGGACGACACGGCGCGGTCAGGCGGGCCGAAGCGCACCCTGCCAACCCCCCACCCCCAGGACTCCCCGGGCGCGCCCACCGAACAGCACGTCCACGCAGGGCTCCGAACCGTCGTGCCGCACGTCCGCGATGACCGAGCAGTTGAGGTTGGTGGCGCGCACCTTCTCGCTGCTCACCGCCTGGAGGAAGGTCCTGCGGCGGGCGGGCGGCGTGAGCGCCCCGCGCCGCCCCCGCGCCAGGAAAGCACGCCCCCCACCCCCGCCCGCGCCCCGCTACCTCGTCGCCTCCACGTTCTTCTCGAAGGGGCAGAACTGAACCCGGACCTCCTTGACGGCCCGGAGTCCGAGTCGCGCCAAGGCCGCCGCCATGATGACCCGCGCCCCGGAAGGACTCGCGCGCGGGCGGAAGCGTTGCCTGGCCGCACGGCTGCGTGTGCGCCTGCGCGCGCTTTTGCGGGGGCCCGGGATCCAGCAGGGAGAACGGTGCTCGTGGCCCCGGGTGTGAAGGGGCCCAAAGTAAGCGCCCAAAGTAATCCTTATCATTCTCAGTCCTCTTGCGCCATGGTGAAGGAGAGAAATAAAAAGGGCAGCGGCCCTTCGCACCCGGCTCGGGAGAATGAGGCCCCTTCTGTGCCGGATGCGGGTCTGCACCTTCTTAAGATGCTCCCTGCTCAGGGAACTGAAGATTTAACCTCATCAGCCTTCAGGCACCAAAACTTAAACCTGAAGCAGGTCCTACAGCGCAGTATTCTTAAGTGACACGAAACAGTGCTGGAGGGAGTGCAGGTGACGGACCGTGGGAACGATCTGTATGCAGAAATGCCTATTTCACCTCTGTGCTTCCCTGGGGAAAGTATGCTACCTGGCTCTTGGGACTTAAGGGGAAGTGGCATCTAGGCGCTCTGCATTCTATTGCTTTTGTTCTCCTTCTCCAAAGGCTCCAACCCTGCCGTGGCCCTTCCAGAATCTCACCCTCCTCCCAGCCTGTAGCCCCAACATTTCTTCACAGACAAGGAACTAGGCATGAGTGTCCCAGGGATGCTGACCGTACTCCAGGCTGGAGGTTTGCCCTTTAGTCTGGATTCCACACTCTGGAGTGATCTAGGATGCTTAGTTTTTAAATCTGAGCTCTGTGTAGCTTGTGGCGCTCAGATATGCTTCCTTCCCAGGTCCTAAACGGAGACCTTTAAAATACTCTTTCCCAAATGCCTACGCTTTCTCAGCCAGAGATGGGAGCTTGTATGCTGGCATTCCTGATCTGGCTCCTTAAGTTTCAGGACTGATCCCCAGGCAGAAAAGAAAAGGCAAGTGCCATTGTGGGCGCTGGTTCTGCCTCAGGGCCAGCCAAGCCTCCTGGTTCCCCACTAGGTAAGCCTCGGGGCTCTGTCCCCCACCCCACAGTGTGCCTAGCAGCTGAGCTGTTTGGGTCGGGATCACTCCGGGCTGAGGAGGGGGCTCCAAGTTCTCCAGGCTGTTGAGGTTACTGCTGGGCAGTTCCATGGTCTGGACTTCATTGCACGCACCTGGTGAGGCAATGGAGGTTGGAGGCGTTGGGGAGAGGCTGAAGCCCTATGGGTGACCACGATGGAGAAATGGGGTGCTTAAAGTAGCAGGCCGGGCTCAAAAAGAGGCACAGGAGTTGGAGTTGGGGGAGGGAAGTAACTCACAGCAACAGGACGGCCTTCTGCGCATGCGACCCTTGGGCAGTGGCTGCTGCAACAGGCACAGCAGGGCCCCATCCAGCCTCTGGAAGATGCCCAGCATGAGCAACGTCTGGCGAACTTCAGGAGACAGGCCCCAGCGCTCCTCCTCCAGCAACTCCCGGACTACTCCGAAGTCCTGTCTGAGCTGCAGTGCCCCCTGCAGGCTGAAGGCCGAAGTACAGTGTGGCCACCCGACCTCCTGCCGGCCCACCTCCACCCTTCCTCACCACCCCCCTGCCACTGCTTCCTCTTCTCCCCACCTGAACCGGATCTCATGGGTGAGGATGTGATCGAGCCAGGCACCCAAGATGGCAGTCAGCGCCTGGCCAAGGGTGGGGGCCTGGGCTTGCGTTGGCAATTCCTGCAGTCCTTGCAACACAGGCTCCAGGACAGTGCGGACCACCAGCCCAGCATACTCACTAGGGATGCTGGGCAGTTCTGGAGTGAGGAGAGAAGGGCAGGTTCTGAAGCCACCGAGCTTCACCAAGCCCCTCCAGAGTGTTTGCAGGAAGGATGCGGGATATCAGAGGCAGAGAGGGCACAGAAGATGACAACATGGATGGATACAGAGAAGAGTCAGGCTTTGGAGAGGTCAGGACGCTATTAGCTGGGGGTGGGGGGACCCTGGAAGGAGGGAGTTACCTGGCAGGAGCCGATGCCTCCAGTACCGACCCCGAGGCATGTACATTTCAAAGCCCTGTGCAGCTTGCCTCTGACACTCCCGAAAAAACAGACTGAGAGACTCTTCAGGCATTAGCTGTGGAGATAGATAGCATAAAAGGCTTACTGTTGGGGGTTTGTCAAGATATGATGCTTTTCTTTTCTTTTTGGGCCACACCCGGCAATTACTCCTGACTTTGCATTCAGAAATCACTCCTGGCAGGCTCAGGGGACCACATGGGATGCAGGTAATCGAATCTGGGTTGACTGAGTGCAAGGCAAGTGTCTTCCCTGCTGTACTATCTCTCCAGCCCCAGGATATAATGTTTTTCATGTCCATCCACTTATAAGCAGATTTCACGACTTCATTTATCATGCTGAGTGAAATGAGTTGGAGAGAGATGGACATAGGATGATTGCACTCACTTGTGGGATATAAAAAACATAGTATGAGACTATTATCCAAGGACAGTAGAAACAAGGGCCAGGAGAACTGGCCCACAGTTGGAAGTTTGCCACAAGTTTGGGGTGGGAGCATAGAAAGAGGGCAGTTAGGATAGAAAAGGGACCGCTGTGGTGATAGTAGGGATTGATCGCTCTGAATAAGAACTGCGTGCTGAAAGGTAACGGGATAACCTTTCAGTACCTGTATTGCAAACTATAATGCCCAAAATGAAAGAGAGAGCAAGGGAGAAAGAAAAGTACCTGCCGTAGAGGCAGACTGGAAACTATCTCATGGTGATTCAATTAAAAAAAAATAGATATAATGCTTTTCTAAATCTGTGGTGTTTAAACTTTGTATCCACCAAACCCCCAAATAGTACTAGATGCACCTTTTCTGAGGAGAAATATTATAGCTTTTATTGGGTTTGCCAAAGATTTGGACCTAGAAAAGATTACTGCCCTGAGATTATTCTGTTCTCCCCAGTTTGGTTTAGGAGATGGATATCTCCCAAGCTAATTTTAATCTAAAGGAACATCAGTGGACAAAGAGACACACCCTCACCATCACAGGGGTCAAAAGTGCATGTGTGTGTGTGTGTGTGTGTGTGTGTGTGTGTGTGTGAGAGAGAGAGAGAGAGAGAGAGAGAGAGAGAGAAATAGAGAGAGAGAGAAGGGAGGGGCATGCATGATTGGCAGGCAAGGCAGAAGCAGGGAAACCCACTGTTTTCTGCTCTGTGACAGGAAGAGCCCAGACATAGGTAGGCAGGAGCCATGACTAAGATTTCCTGAGATTCAGAAACCTTTTGGTTTGAGGTCACACGAGGTGGTGCTCAGAATTTACTCCTGGCTCTGTACTCAGGGATCATGCCTAGTAGATTGGGAGTGGGGAGGGGCATATGGGGTACCAGGGATCAAACCCAGGTTAGTCTCATGTAAGGCAAATGCCCTACCCACTAACTATACTATGTTTCTGGCTCCACTTTTTTTTTTTTTTTTTTGCTTTTTTGGGTCACACCCAGCGATGCTCAGGGGTTATTCCTGGCTCTGCACTCAGGAATTACTCCTGGCAGTGCTTGGGGGACCATATGGGATGCCGGGGATTGAACCCAGGTCGGCTGTGTGCAAGGCAAACGCCTTACCCGCTGTGCGATCACTCCGGCCCCCTGGTCCCACTTTTTAACTTTCTTAAAGCACTGCCACTTGCTGGCAGTGCTGAGGAGTGCAGTGCCAGGCAGCAAATTCAAAGTCTTGCTCACATTAGGCACGTGGTTCTATTACTTAAGCCATATTCCCAGTCCACGAGCTTCCCTTTAAAGGGGTAATCCAACTAATCCATGATGTAGAAATGATGAGACTGAACTATTACACTTTCTGATCCTCAGTGAAATCTAGGCAATGATGACTGGTGAGTGCTACTACAGATATGGGATGGGGGAGAGAAGGGGCAAATATATAGAAAAAAGACACTTAGCCAAAATCTCAGTGATAGGATAGTGAAGTGGCCATCCACTGTACTCTATTTTTGTGCATGTTTTTTATGTGTTTTAAATATTGCATGGAAAAAATGTTTGGTTTATGTTTGAAATTCCCCATAAGGAAAAGCTAAAGAAAACAATGAGCAGAGCAAGAAAAGAGCAATTTAGCCCAGATTCTAAGGATGTTCCAAGTCATTCAATGTCCCCCCACCAAGTCCACAGCTGGGCACAGAGCCGCATCTTAAAATGCCACTGCAGGGGGCTGGAGCAATAGTACAGCCAGTAGGGCACTTGCCTTGCATGTGGCAAACCTGGATTCCATCTCTGACATTCCGAATGGTTCCCTGAGCCTGCCAGGAGTGAACCCTGAGCGCAGAGCCAGCCCTGAGCATAGCCTTGTGTGGCCCCCAAACCAAAACTAAATAAATAACTACAATGCCACTGTCAGGGCTGAAGGTACCACACAGCGTTTAGTGTGCATGCCCCATAGTGCCAGATCCTGGTTTAAGCACTGACCATATGAGCTTCCTATAGCACGAGGGTGGCCCAAGGATGCCCAGCATTGTGGGTCTAGACACCAAACCCTGGAGTCCCTGCACTGAACCACTGTCCCAGTTGGCCAAGAATTTCTGAGCACTGTTTGGGAGGCCCCTCACCCCCAAATGAGAAGCCGCTGTCAGTTTGGCTGTGTCCCTCACCTGGATGTGCGTGGCCAGTCTCTGGACCTGTGCAGCCAGTTGCCCCAGCTGCCACTCCAGCTCCTGGACCCAGCTCTCCTCAGAGACCAGGCGGTGCAGGCCTTCTGCCTCCTGCAACAGAGGCTGTGGCCGAGAGAGCGAGTGAGGCCCCAGCCCAGCTCGGATGCCCCCTGCCCTCTCGCTGGCTACTCACTGGCAAGTCCTTCTGGGTCAGAAGCAGGAAGGAAGTGGGGGCCCAGGCTGCCAGATGCTGCTGAGCTCGGCCCCCAAACCAAAGCAAGGTGGCCTGCAGGGTGCACAGCCCCAGGGCAAGGGGTGCAGGAGCTGCGTGGGGAGGACAGAGCAGCTCAGGAGTCAGGGGTCACGGAACGGCATAGAGGACCCCCACAGAGCTACATTCCTCCAGCTCACCTGGAGGCGCGCTGAGGGGCAGCCCTGTCGCATCTTCTCGGAGGGCATCCAAGAGAGGGGAAAAGAGCTGCTGCCAGAGCCCAGACGTGTGGGACGACGAGGCGAGGGCTCTGTCATCGCGGGAGCAGCCGAGCGCGCGGCAGAAGCCTGCGGGAAGCCAGCGGGCCTCGGTGGGGACCGGCCGCCCCTCCTTCCCGGCTGGGCCAACGCCTGCACCCCTGCAATCTCACCTCGGTCCCAGTTCCAGATCAGAGACTGTCGCCACAGGCTGCGGCCCAGGGAGACCAGCTCCTTCTCGCACTCGGCGGGCAGGGGTGCTAGTGGGAGACAGGGCTCAAGCCTGAAAACAACGGCGTCTCCATTCCACAACCATTGCCCGTTCCCGCCCCCACCCCCAGACCCGAGCGAGCGAGCGAGCTTCCTATAGCAGGAGGGTCTGGAAGGCGCGGACGAAGCTGGCTGAAGGTGAGGGCTCGGGTGGGTTTACAAAGGGGGCGGCTCTGGGAGGCGGGTTTGCAGGGGAGCGAGAAGGAAGACAGCGCGGCCGCTGCAAAGCCCCCCAGCGCCCCCCGCCACTCACCCTGCCCCGGCGCCGGATCCAGCTGCTGTGTCGCTGCCCTGGGGTCCCTCCAGGGTCCCAGGTTTAGGGACAGGCTCTGAGCACAGGCGGCCCACAGCAGGGCCCAGTACTGGCTCCAGAGGGCACCCGCCCCGCCCAGCCCCGGGCCGCGGGGGGCCGAGCCCGCCACGCCCCCCAGCAGGCCCAGCAGCCCCGGCAGCAGCTCCCGCTCCTCCTGGCACGCTTTCCGGAGCTGGTCCCGCAGACCCGACGTCCGGAGCGCCGGGTCCAGCCGGCTGGCCAGCAGGCAGCCCCGCTCGGCCGTCAGGAGGCGCAGCACCCGGGCCGGGGGGAAAGGGCGCGCGGCCCCGGGGACGCAGCCCGACGTTCGGCCCTGCAGCTGCTGGAAGGCGGGCAGGACGCCCAGCGCGTCGGCGAGGCGGGACGACAGGCGGGGCCCGGCGGGCTCCCGGCCCAGCGCCCGGAGCTGGGTCTCCAGGGCGGCCTCCAGGTGCCGCGCCGCGAGGCCGACGGGGCGCGCCAGCAGCAGCGGCGCCGGGCCGGGCCCCCGGGAGGGCAGCGCCAGCGGGTCGCGGGCGGGCGCGGGGGACGGCGCGCCGGGGCTCGGGCTCTGCAGGACGAGGCGCACGGCCGCCTGGAGCTGGCGGGCGCAGTCCCGGGCGTGCAGGAGCCGCTCCCGCTCGCGCTGCAGCCGCAGCAGCACGGCTCGGAGCCGCCGCAGCTTCGGGGGCATCGGGGCGTCCGCGCTCGGCTCCAGCGCGCCGGCACCGGCCGCCGGCACCGCCGCCGCCGCCGCCCACCTCGCCGGCCCGGACTCAGCGCACGGGACGCCCCCCGCCGCCGGCAGCCTCCGCCCGCTCCAGGCCTCCGCGCCCGCCGGCCCCCTCCTCTCGGACTCCTCCCCGGCGCCCCGCCGCGTGGGGGCGAGCGGAGGCAGCCCCCCTGCGCGGGACGCCTGGGCCATCGGGCCGCGGGCCGCCCCGACCCCTCCGACTCGCGGGTTCAGCCCAACACCCGCCGCAGCCCGGACTCCGCCTCATCCCTAGAGCCGTCAGCTCCGACGAGGGAACCGCCGGGGTTGTCTGGGCCCTCTCGCGCTCCGTCGTCGGAGTCTCTGCCCTCAACAAAGATGGCCGCCCGGCCACGCCCCCGGGGCCAGTGTCCCAATCAGATGCTCGCTTTCGGCTCACCGTGGACGGGAGGGGGCGCTGAGCCACCGGGCCGGGCCACGCTAGGGGAGGGGGTGTGCCGAGACAGAAGGGTCCCAGAAGGATCGCATCAGGCTCTGGTTTCGGCTGTGCTCATCTGCCCCAAGCCTCCGCGTCTTTCCCAGTAGAACGCCCTCTGCGATCCGGCTGTCGCCGCTGTCCCCCGACTCTGCAAGGTCCAGCACCTGCTGCCTCCTCTGGGTTTATATCAGCCAGGCCTCCTGTCAGTGTTCCTGAGCGAGAGCCACCCCGCGCTGGCCCTGTCCTCTAGGGGGCAAGCCCAGCGTGAGTGGTCTTGAAGCCAGCGGGATCACGCTGGTGAGGGTCTGCGAGGGGAGGATTGAGAAATGCGCACAGCTGCCAGGGGGAAGATTCTGAACAACACAGCAGGAACAGTGAGGAAAGACACAAGCCCGGGAGAAATAAAGAGAAGGTCATCGAAGGGAGTGGAGGATGTGAGGCCAGAGGGGGCTTGCAAAGCCTTGCCTGGGCCTGGGGTTTGGATGTCCTCCAGGGACAACCCAAGCAGGGAACAGGCTTTTGAGCAAGGGCCAGTTTTAGGTTTGAGGATACTGTGCAGGCACTGTGACTTATCTCCACAAAAAGGTCAAACTCAAGTCCGAAAGTTTATTCACCATCTTTTCAAACTATTTGCTTTTCCTCTTGTCTTATTTCCGTTAATAAACCGACTACCATCCAGTTGCTTAGACCCAGAGTGCAGAATGAATGTGTATAAGCCTCCCTTTGCTGCCCACATTGAGTCAGTCACTGAAATCTACGTCTGAAATGTCTCTTGACTCCAACCCACCCTTTTGGTTCCCACCCCTATTATCACTGAGCAATAACACAGCGGGTAGGACGTTTGCCTTGCATGAGGCCAACCTGGGTAGATCCCGGGCATCTGATATGGTCCCCTGAGCTTCACTGTATCACTATATCACTGTCATCCCATTGTTCGTCTAGATTTACTGGAGTGGGCGCCACTAACGTCTCTATTCCTCCCAGCCCTGAGATTTTAGCAGCCTCTTCTTACTCGTCTTTTCCCAACAATTGGAGGCTCTTTCAGGGTCAGGGGAATGAGACCTGTTGTTGTTACTGTTTTTGGCATATCGCATACACCACGGGGAGCTTGCCAGTCTCTGCCCATGCGGGCAGGATACTCTCGGTAGCTTGCACGACTCTCCGAGAAGCATATATTTCTCTCTATGATTTGTTGCCTACTATCTGAACCCTATCAAATATGGTGTGGAAATTATGGAAAATTGGGTATAAAGTGTCTTAAAGCAGCCACGCAGTCCAGAAAGTGCCCTGGAGCGTGGCGGCAGTTGGGTAGTGGAGGTCAGCTGCTGGGGCTAGGACTCTTGGGGTGGGGAGAGCTCTCACTCGCCCCATTCTAGGGAACCCCGAGTGAAAACAGCCTGGCATGGAGTCTGGTGGCATGGTTATGAGGGCCTCATTTTATATTCCCGTCTGGGAGGAGCATCCATGAGTTCTGGAGGGTGGCTGATGAGATTATCTGGTGCCGGTGGGGTGTGGCTGATGTGTGTGACCCCTGGGTCACCAGAGACTGGGGGAAGCAGGCAGAGGATCTCTGCTCCCGGTCCCGTTGAGTCCAGAGTCCAAGGTCACGAAGTTCTGCATCATATGGGTTCCATGAGACTTCATTCATGTGTGAGGGTGTGAGCGTCTGGAAAGCGTCCTGGAGCATGGCAGTGGTTGGGTAGTGGAGGTCGTTGACTGCTGGGGCTGGGTCCCTTGGGGCAGGGAGGGCTCTTGCCTGCCCCACTCTGGGGTGCCCCGAGTGAAAACAGCCTGAGATCGAGTCCCCTGAGCTTACCAGGAGTAATTCCTGAGTGCAGAGCCAAGAGTAAGCCCTGAGCACCCCCAGTGTGGCCCACAAACAAACAAAAAAGAACTCTGCCTCCCTTGCACTGCCTGACATAATGATTACAGGAACAGTCCACCAGTGGGATTTCATTTGATTGCTTCACTCCCCAGACCAGGCCTCTCCCATCACTGACAGGGCAAAGTCCAAATTTGCCAGGTCACTTGAGCTTCTCCAGTGGGGTTCTCCCTCTGGAAGGGACCCCTTTTTTTTTTCTTCACACCTGGCGATGCACAGGGGTTACTCCTGGCTCATGCACTCGGGAATTACTCCTGGCAGTGCTCGGGAGAGCATATGGGATGCTGGGAATTGAACCCGGGTCAGCCACGTGCAAGGCAAACACCCTACCTGCTGTGTTATCACTCCAGCCCCCAGAGGGGGACCTCTTCACCCACTTCTGCTCATTCACCACATACTTACCGAGCACCAGTTCTGTGCCAGCCATTGTTTTTGGCACTGGGGAAATAGTAGTAGGTAAAACAAAGACAGTTAATTTTTAGTCAATCAATAGAATGCATCTAGTGGTAAACAACAGAGCATGTCAGCAGCTGTTAGAAAAGATGTATCACTGTATCACTGCCATCCCATGGTCCTCGAATTACTCGAGCAGGTGCCAGTAACGTCTCTATTCCTCCCAGCCCTGAGATTTTAGCAGCCTCTTCTTACTCGTCTTTTCCCAACAATAATGAAGGCATCAAAAAGATGAAGTCATGAAATTTGTATAAAAGTGGATGGATATGGAGAGTATCATGCTAAGTAAAATGAGTGAAAGAGAGAGGGACAGACCTAGAATGACCGCACTCATTTGTGAAATATCAAGTAACAGAATGGGAGACTAACACCCAAGGATAATAGAGATAAAGGCCAGGAGGATAGCTCCATGGCTTGGAAGCCGGCCTCACATGCTGGGGGAAAAGGCAGCTGAGAAAGAGAAGGGACCACCAAGTAAAGGGTGCTTGGAGGGCTCGCTCGGGATGGGAGATGTGTGCTGAAAGTAGACTATGGACCGAACATGATGGCCACTTAGCAAACTGTAACACCCAAAAGAAGATAGAGAGCAAAAGGGAATATGCCTGCCACAGAGGCGGGGGGGATGGAAGGGTGGCAGGAGGGATACTGGGAACATTGGTGGTGGAGAATGGGCACTGGTGGAGGGATGGGTACTCGACCATTGTTTGACTGAAACGTAATCACAAAGGTTTGTAGATCTGCAACTGTATCTCATGGTGATTCGTGAAAAAAAAAATCAAGCAAAAAAAAAAGAACATGTCAAATATGGATAAGTAGAATAAAAGCAGCAAGAAGGAAAATGAGAGCATGTGGAATTGAGTAGTTCTCTTTTTTTTTTTTTATGTAGGAGTACTGCTATTTATTCAGCCACTGATTAGCTGATTGAATTGTGCATGAACTCCACCTCACTTTTTTTTCATTTTTTATAATTTTATGTATTGAATCACCGTGAGGGCAGTTACAAAGCTTTCGGGTCTAAGTCCTGGTCATACAATGAAACACCCGTACCTTCACCAGTGCCCATTCTCCACCACCAAAAACCCCTGTATACCCCCATCCCACACCCTCCCCCTACCTGTGGGGCAGATGATTTCCACATTTCTCTCTCTCTATTTGATCACATTCAATATTTTGGAGGAGTTCTCTTTCTTAAAGGAGTGGTTAGGGCTGGAGCAGTAGAACAATGGGTAGGGCACTTCCCTAGCACACAACCGGCCCATCACTCGGCATCCCATAGGGTCCCCAGAGCACCACCAGGAGTGATCCCATGAGTGCAGAGCCAGGAGTAACCCCTGGTGTGGCCCCAAAACAACAGAAACAACAAAAACAAACAAACTTCCCTCCCATTGTTCTTCAATTTGCTCGAGCGGGCCCAGTAACGTCTCCATTGTGAGACTTCTTGTTACTGTGTTTGGCATATTGAATACTCTTGGTAGCTTGCCAGGCCCAAAACAACCAAAAAACAATATTCCAAAAAAGTAGTGGTTAGAGAAAGACTCCCTGAGAACATTTTTGAGAAGAGCTGTGGGGTCCAGAGAGACAGCCCAAGTCACACAGGGTGACCAGATTTGATCTCTGGCACCACGCAGTCCCCCAGGCTTCATGAGGAATGACCCCTGAACACTGAGATGGTAGTAGCCCCTGAACCCACCATGTGTTGCTCCCAAACCAATAAATTAATTAATTAAAAGAAAACAGAGAGATGGGCTAGAGGAGCCAGCCGTTCACTGGAAAAAGGAGTTTTCCAGGAAGAAAGCACATTTTTAAAAAGCCCTGAGTTGGCAGCACACTGACATGTGTGGTGCCAACCTTGGAGAAAACTATGTAGCTGGAGGAGGGCAACAAGAGGGTGGGTAGTTTGGGAAGGGGTGGGGGGGCAAGGGTGCAAGTCCAGAAAATCAAGAGAACAGCACTGGGGTCAGAAAAGTGGGGCAGGGTGCTTGCTTTGCACACAAGTAACCACAGTTACTTGAGTTCTTGAGTCCACCAGGGGTGACCCTGAGCACAGAGCCAGGAATAAGCCCTGAGAACAGCTAGGCGTGGCCCAAACCAATGGAGAGACAGACGGGCAGACAGAGGAGCAAGAAGCATATGCTACTCTGGGGAAAAACAGACTGTCAAGAAAGTTTTTTTTTTCTTTTTGGGTCACACACAGCGATGCGCAGGGGTCACTCCTGGC